GTAGTTAACACCACGGGGTAGCTGTGTGTACGTGTGTGTGTGTGTGTTGCTGTGTGTACGTGTGTGTGTGTGTAGCTGTGTGTACGTGTATGTGTGTGTGTGTAGCTGTGTGTGTGTGTGTGTGTGTAGCTGTGTGTACGTGTATGTGTGTGTGTGTAGCTGTGTGTACGTGTGTGTGTGTAGCTGTGTGTACGTGTGTGTGTAGCTGTGTGTACGTGTGTGTAGCTGTGTGTACGTGTGTGTGTGTAGCTGTGTGTACGTGCGTGTGTGTGTGTAGCTGTGTGTACGTGCGTGTGTGTGTGTAGCTGTGTGTACGTGCGTGTGTGTGTGTAGCTGTGTGTATGTGCGTGCGTGTGTGTGTAGCTGTGTGTGTGTGTAGCTGTGTGTACGTGCGTGCGTGTGTGTGTGTAGCTGTGTGTACGTGCGTGCGTGTGTGTGTAGCTGTGTGTACGTGCGTGCGTGTGTGTGTGTGTAGCTGTGTGTACGTGCGTGTGTGTGTGTGTGTGTAGCTTTGTGTACGTGCGTGCGTGTGTGTGTGTAGCTTTGTGTACGTGCATGTGTGTGTGTAGCTGTGTGTGCGTACGTGTGTGTGTAGCTGTGTGTGCGTGCGTGTGTGTGTAGCTGTGTGTGCGTGCGTGTGTGTAGCTGTGTGTACGTGCGTGCGTGTGTGTGTAGCTGTGTGTACGTGTGTGTGTAGCTGTGTGTGCGTGTGTAGCTGTGTAGCTGTGTGTGCGTGTGTAGCTGTGTGTACGTGTGTGCGTGTGTGTGTAGCTGTGTGTGCGTGTGTGTGTAGCTGTGTGTACGTGCGTGCGTGTGTGTGTAGCTGTGTGTACGTGCGTGCGTGTGTGTGTAGCTGTGTGTACGTGCGTGCGTGTGTGTAGCTGTGTGTACGTGCGTGTGTGTGTGTAGCTGTGTGTACGTGCGTGTGTGTGTGTGTGTAGCTGTGTGTATGTGCGTGCGTGTGTAGCTGTGTGTACGTGCGTGCATGTGTGTGTGTGTAGCTGTGTGTACGTGCGTGTGTGTGTGTGTAGCTGTGTGTACGTGCGTGCGTGTGTGTGTGTAGCTGTGTGTATGTGCGTGCGTGTGTGTGTAGCTGTGTGTACGTGTGTGTGTAGCTGTGTGTGCGCGTGTGTGTAGCTGTGTGTACGTGTGTGCGTGTGTGTGTAGCTGTGTGTGCGTGTGTGTGTCGCTGTGTGTGCGTGCGTGTGTGTGTAGCTGTGTGTACGTGCGTGTGTGTAGCTGTGTGTACGTGCGTGCGTGTGTGTGTGTAGCTGTGTGTACGTGCGTGCGTGTGTGTGTGTAGCTGTGTGTACGTGCATGTGTGTGTGTGTAGCTGTGTGTACGTGCGTGCGTGTGTGTGTGTATAGCTTTGTGTACGTGCGTGCGTGTGTGTGTGTGTGTGTAGCTGTGTGTACGTGCGTGTGTGTGTGTAGCTGTGTGTGCGTGCGTGTGTGTGTAGCTGTGTGTACGTGCGTGCGTGCGTGTGTGTAGCTGTGTGTACGTGCGTGCGTGTGTGTAGCTGTGTGTACGTGCGTGCGTGTGTGTAGCTGTGTGTACGTGCGTGCGTGCGTGTGTGTAGCTGTGTGTACGTGCGTGCGTGTGTGTAGCTGTGTGTACGTGCGTGCGTGTGTGTGTGTAGCTGTGTGTACGTGCGTGCGTGTGTGTGTGTAGCTGTGTGTACGTGCGTGTGTGTGTAGCTGTGTGTAGCTGTGTGTACGTGCGTGCGTGTGTGTGTAGCTGTGTGTACGTGTGTGTGTGTGTAGCTGTGTGTACGTGCGTGTGTGTGTGTGTAGCTGTGTGTACGTGCGTGCGTGTGTGTGTAGCTGTGTGTACGTGCGTGCGTGTGTGTGTCTGTAGCTGTGTGTACGTGCGTGCGTGTGTGTGTAGCTGTGTGTATGTGCGTGCGTGTGTGTGTAGCTGTGTGTACGTGTGTGTGTAGCTGTGTGTGCGCGTGTGTGTAGCTGTGTGTACGTGTGTGCGTGTGTGTGTAGCTGTGTGTGCGTGTGTGTGTTGCTGTGTGTGCGTGCGTGTGTGTGTAGCTGTGTGTACGTGCGTGCGTGTGTGTGTGTAGCTGTGTGTACGTGCGTGCGTGTGTGTGTGTAGCTGTGTGTACGTGCGTGCGTGTGTGGGTGCCTAGGTGGGTACGTGCGTGCGTGTGTGTGTGTGTAGCTTTGTGTACGTGCGTGCGTGTGTGTGTGTGTGTAGCTGTGTGTACGTGCGTGTGTGTGTGTAGCTGTATGTACGTGCGTGCGTGTGTGTGTAACTGTGTGTACGTGCGTGCGTGTGTGTAGCTGTGTGTACGTGCGTGCGTGTGTGTCTAGCTGTGTGTACGTGCGTGTGTGTAGCTGTGTGTACGTGCGTGCCTGTGTGTGTGTGTGTAGCTGTGTGTACGTGCGTGTGTGTGTGTGTAGCTGTGTGTACGTGCGTGTGTGTGTGTAGCTTTGTGTACGTGCGTGCGTGTGTGCGTGCCTAGGTGTGTACGTGCGTGCGTGTGTGTGTGTAGCTGTGTGTACGTGCGTGCGTGTGTGTGTAGCTGTGTGTGCGTAGCTGTGTGTGCGTGTGTGTAGCTGTGTGTACCTGTGTGCGTGTGTGTGTGTGTAGCTGTGTGTACGTGTGTGCGTGTGTGTGTGTGTAGCTGTGTGTAGCTGTGTGTACGTGTGTGTGCGTAGCTGTGTGTGTGTGTGTGTAGCTGTGTGTACGTGTGTGTGCGTGTGTAGCTGTGTGTACGTGTGTGTATTAAACACACGGCACTCTTCCTCTTGGCGTTGCAGCTCTCTCCACTGCTGGTTGAGTTGGCGCGATGCTCGCCGTCGGCGGTGCGCGATGATTCCGTCGTCAGATAGCTTGCGCAGCTTGTCTGCTGGTCGCCGCTCCTCACTCTGGCCTTGGTTCCCAGCTGGTGCTGGTCGGTGTGTGTGTGGGTCGAACCCACGGCGCTCTCGCTGGCGCTGACACTCTTGCTCACGGGCGGCTGGTCAGGCTCTTTCCACTGCTCCGTGCTCTCTCCTTTCTCTCTCCTTGCTTTCGCCCTTGGCGTGCAGCTGCCAGTTTTGCACTGGCATTGTGTTGCCTCTCCCGCCCTCACTTCGGGGCTTCGCCTTGTCGTTGCTCAACTTTCGGTCTCTCCACCCTTCTTCCAAGAGGGCTGCTGCTGTGAGCTGCTCGTCGCTGGCTGGATCACTGACTCTCAAAACTTGTAAATTGTATTAGCACACCTCTTACACAACTCTGATAGCTTGGTACAATACAACTTATCGCAAACCCTCGATTCCACAAGCGACTCAAAACATCAGGATGAATGTAGAATAAACTTTCAGCGATACTCTGTCAGTTCATGCCAAACTCAGCTCTTAACAACACATCGTCCCTTCGCTCCACGAGACACGACACCCATGGTTGATCTCGAGGCCATGCCCCGGAGTTTGCCCCTTTGCAAGACTGAATTGCATGATCTGTGTCGTTGGTTATATCTGAAATTCCCTCCCCTCTCTGTGCGTCTCTTGCGAGAGAAAAAAAACAGATGCCCTCTGTCACCGTCCTCTCTCCACAGCCGCGCCTGAATGCCCCCCCCCTTCCCTTGATGACCTCGGACGGGTTGTTTTCCGTCTAAGTTTATGCTTGTTTGCATCCCCCCCCCCCTTTGTAGTGTTTGTTATCTCGAGGCCAGACACCCTTGATACGTATTTATGGTTGCCATGTGTTTGTGTCAAATTGTTTGAAGACAAAGGTGGCCGGGGAGGCTTTGATTCCATGGAATACATATCCGGTCTTGTGTGTGTTGGACCTATTTCTTGTATCTCTTATGAGTTACCCCCGGTCTAATATCTTGTGGTTATTATTTGGTTCATGTTTAACCAAGATTCGTAATGCCCCTCATTGTTACCATTATTCCGAGGGTTTTGCCAAGCTTTGTTGTAAGTCTGTGGCACCAGGGATCGGTGTTTTATTTTGAGTAATATTTTGATATCCCGAGGCTGGAGATATAACCAAGCGCTCACTTTCTTGTCTACCAGAATGCACATTCCTTGCTTCTCTTGGTGAAGTTACATGGATAGAAAGATACAATACAAAATGATATACGAGTTAAATAATGGTGAAATAAAATAAATAATAATAAAGCCGCTAGTATAGACTGCAGTCTATAACGTCGATTTGTTCTTTTTGACAAGTTTCAAACTTTTACCGTTAAAGAAAATGCGAGTTGTAACGTCCGTTTGTCTCTGCTATGTGCTCTGGAGATTTGTTTGTGAACTGTCCAAACCGTCCGGGGAGGTCATGTCATATGGTCATCTGCCAGCCTGGAGATTTCCAGATAGTCGCACACCCCTCTTTGCCCCGAAGTTTGTTTAATGTTTTTTTTGACCTCCAGATGCTTGGTGTGGCTTGAAGGGTAGCGGAGTTGAGTGTTGGTTTCATTTATTTATTATTTAAGGAAAAAAATGGATCGAATTATTCTTAATATAATTTTTTGGAAAAGGTCTATATATACAACACACCTCTAAGTTGCGATTGAACATGAATTTATGAATTTCTGCATAACACAAATAGTATTATTTTCAACACCTTTTGCTATGTCAACTGAATTTAGCTTTCATAAATATTCCTTTTGTAGCCAGACAGCCGAAATTTGTGACCATTTGCCCTCTCATTGTGTGCCATAACAGCCCGCGTGATGAATTTGGGAAACTTTTTCACTATTTCATGAATATATAAATAAGTATAGACGTGTAAGTCACGTGTGACTGTGTATATGCATTCCTCTGTGCCTCGATACTGACGTGTAGATGGTGTGGATATTCTTTTCTGTCTGCAACTGACGCTTCCTCTGTAGCTTCCTCTGCAGAATTGGTCTGATGGAGCAAAGGCACTCGGCGCAGCTCGGTGCGACAAGGCAACAATGCGACCGGTGTTCATACAGCACAAATTGTCCTGAACATTTGACACAGCACCAGAGAACTCGCATGGGAGAGAAACCCTTAAAGTGCAGTGTATGTGGGAAGGCGTTTGCACATTCATCTGAACTTGTAAAACACCAGAGAACACACACGGGAGAGAAACCCTTCAAGTGCAGTGTATGTGGGAAGGCGTTTGCACTTTCATCTACTCTTGTAGCACACCAGAGAACACACACGGGAGAGAAACCCTTCAAGTGCAGTGTGTGTGGGAAGGCGTTTGCACAGTCATCTACTCTTTTAAAACACCAGAGAACACACACGGGAGAGAAACCCTATAAGTGCAGTGTGTGTGTGAAGGCGTTTGCAAATTTATCTCATCTTGTAGTACACCAGAGAATACACACGGGAGAGAAACCCTTCAAGTGCATTCCGTGCGGGAAGGCGTTTGCACGTTCATCAAATTTTCATGTCCACCAGAGAACAAACAAGCATCAGAAGATCCACCAGGAGTGGAGTCTGAAATCAGCTTTAAAAAGTCAAAGTGCTGCAATGAGCCCATCCCTCATCAAACAAGAACCGGAAGAAAATCCCAGCTTGGACACTTTCAAAGAAATCGAGGTGAAATATGAAGAGGTGACGGTGAAATGTGAAGAAGTGATGGTGAAGAGCGAAGAAGTGAAGGTAAAATGTGAAGATGAAGATTCAACTCCAAAATTGGACCTTCACATCGATGGAGGCAACGTGAAGCAGGAGGAGAATTCTGACTGTGAGGCCGAGCGAGGCAACTCCCAGCAGTTTGTGGAAGTGGAGGTGTGGGTGGACTTCCTCCGAGACAATACAAAGTCAAATGGAGACCCGGGAGATGTGTAAGCTTGAGATGATGTCGCTCCAATAGATGCTCCTTTGTCACAGGCCTTTAATGACAAGAATGTGAAGTTTAATACTCGGTTCCTAGGTGCAACCTGCAGGGTAAGAGCGGCCAGTCTTTGTGGACCTGTGTGTTGGGTAGATTTCGAACCAGGAGCGAGAGCCAATAAGCTCCCAAGCATTCACTATGTTCTCATAATTGCATTTATATGGTGCTTGCTTAATCGCCTCTGGCAACTCGGAGTTTTGTATCGTATCTCGTCTCAACACTCCAAGAACATCCCCAAGTAGCAGCTGCCCCTGTGTGGCACAAGGTGGTGGCCCTGCACCGGCCTGCATGTGGACAAGAGCCTGTCAGTAGGGGGCGATGGTTGATGTGGCATCTCAGTTGTGGAGTTTGTAGGTAATGTTTAGTATTTGATAAATTTTGACCCAGATGCCAGCATGCAATGGCCTACTCGTTTTGAATGGTGCATTAGTATGTTGTACATACACTGTTAAGCAGATTTTGTGTATTTTTTTAATTAGCTTCTTGCTAATGCGATGTAACCTAGTGCAGTAATTCAATTTTGTTAACATGCCTGTCACTAATTTAGAATGAATACTTGTCTGATTGTGTGCGTACATGTAACCTTTTGTCTATAAGGGTCAAACATTGAGTAAGTGATGTTAGGACAAAGTTTGTGTTTTGCAAGTAACCTGTACAGATCAGGTGAGACTCCTTGTTCTTGTGATACAGGTCAAAGGGTATTTTTGTGTTTTCAGGAAGCATCTCCCTCTGGAGCAACTCATTGTCTTTGAAATAGCGAGCACACTCGGATCATTCATCAGTTACAAGGCAAACCACTTAAAAGTTACACGTAGAGGAGGTACATTCTCTATAACACGAATTATAATTTTGCATTACGTGTTGACATAGATTTTGTCTAACTCGGACTAGAAATGCTCCTTGCTGATTAACGTCTGGATGTCCGTAACTATCGGTTGAAACAAGCCCGGCTGCTGTTGAGACGCTGTGCACCAATAAGGGTCCACAGGTGGCTTGCACTGAATCAATGACGCGCTCCCAGAAGTCTGTGCTAGTTATAGTTTGTGTAAAACATTCATTTGTTTCGTGGAGAGATCGATAAATGAAAGATGTCGTGTCTGCTGATCTGCTTCATAGCAAGGAGGTAATTCTAAGAGCCTATTTGAAATACATTTTTGGTACAGATTTGTATTTGGTTACAAGGCAGAGCACATCTAGTAGATGCATTCTCCACAACAACACTCATTAGAATTTTGCATGACGTCTTATATGTTGGTGAACTAGGACAAGAAATGGTCCTTGCCGATTAACGTCTAAATGTTCACAACCATGGTTGAAGCAAGCCTGACCGCCTGCGGTGCCCCTCAACCATTTACGGCCTTGGGCCAGGAAAGTCACAAAAAAATTGCACACGAACGACGCATTCACGCAAGCACCCGATGCTCCGTTTTGAAGTTTCAAAATGAAACAACTTTGAATTGTATTATGTTTTGCATTAGATCATTGTATTTCTTCTTTAAAAGCTTATATCATTTTACATATGGAAGACTTAATTGAAAACGACATTTCGTGTGAATTTTCTCTCGTCGTTAAGTAGATTGCCTTGCCGCGGATTCTGTTCGATGCGGACTTTCACCTGGTTGGGAGAAGACCGCCGTCTGCAGATCGATTCCAACGCGATCGGACGTCTGTCCCTGCGCCTCCGTCGTTCATGCAGGGGGCGCGTAGGTTTGCAGCGCCCCCTGCATGAAAGCGATGGAAAGTGCAGCGTTCGTCACAGACAAATGAAGTCGTGTGCTTATATATTTACGTATAAATTGTACACCAAAACCGGTCCACAGTTGACTTGCACTGAATGCTGCAGTAGTTATTATATTTTGTGTAAAACATTCCTTTGTTTCGCGGAGAGACTGAGAAATGAAATACGTCTTGTCTGCTGATCTAGTTCATATCCGTGTACATCGATATCCCACATTGCTTACACTACACACCACACAGGGAAATAAATAGAAACTAGAACGACTTCCGGGGATGGGCAAAGAGCGAGGAATCTCTTTCAATGGAGCGAGTTCAGTGAGTTCGATTCAACATTTCTCTGTGCGTCTGTGTCTCTGTTCGCCTCTATGTGTCTCTCTCTGCCTGTCTCTGTCCATGTCGTCTCTGTGTTCCTCTTGTCTGTGTTTGTCCGCCTGTCTTGTCTGTCTGTCCCACCGCAGTCAACGACTGCCAGTAGCAGCAGGCGCCCGTTCAGCTCCCACGGCTACACGCCACTCAAAGTTGCTCCCAACACAAAGACAAAGATCCCCCGTAAAGCCTGGACAGAATGTCGGGGCAAGTGCTGTTAGCGAGCACCTATTAAGGGTGGGACGGCACACGAGGGGGTGGGTGGCCGGCACCACGCCCGGCCGCCTTTGTCTCCCCAGTGCTAGCGATGTTGACACCGCACCGGGTACTCTTTTGAGGCTGACTCGACGTAGGGGAGGCTCAGGACCGGCTCAGAAAGTCGTCACTGGCGATGTTGGCCACGAGCGGGAATGGAACTCGGCGCAGCGCTCAGCACGACACTGCCGCTCCCCTTCTGTCAACAAACTTGAACTCTGACCCCGCCCTCTGACGTCGCCGCTCAGCGTGACCTCGTCGGCGTCAAACGCCAGGGGGAGGTGTGCCTCGCTAGTGACGTCATGTCACCAAGGTATTCGTTCTCCCCGACCACCGAGCTCTTGAGCGTGACGTCACCTCCGCTTGGCCGCAGCCGATGTCTGTTCCAGTGCCAATCCTTATTTGGGCAAAGCTACGCCCGGCGACTGGCGGCTCATTAACATAATTTATTCGAGAAAGCGACGGGTTCAGCAGCCACGCCTCTGCACGGATGGGCCGGGCTCATTAACATAATTTATGAACGTTACAGAGCCGCTCGTGGGATGGGAATGTCTTGTACCCCGCAAGTGACGTCATGTCACCTGCTGCTGCCGCGTGACGTCACGACGTAACAGGAAGCTGCCGCTCCTCGCGTGCACTGCAATCCGAGGTGAGACATTCTCATCGCGGTTGTGGTGGTGGTTGTGGTGTTGGTGGTGGTGTTGGTGGTGGTGGTGGTTGTTGTTGTTTACCAAGGTAAGAGCCTCGCTCTCTCGTAGGGGTGTCAATTGAGTAGCAGCGAGCATGGAAGCGATGTCCACGGTGGATCTTACAACGCGGGGCCTTGCCTCCTGCCCTCGCCTGCTGCAATTATCTTGCTTAAGTTGAATTGTCACCACCTGGCTCACTACTTCGTAACTTTGTTTTAATATTCACACCGATTTGTTTTCATTTTACCAGGCCAAGCCCACCTGAGCTGCTATACCGCTTTTGTCTTCAGACGCGACCTGCTCACAACAACAACAAGGTGAGGCTTCGTCAACAGCGTGGCGGTGTTCACTCTAGACGCGTGGCGGTGTTCACTCTAGACACGTGGCGGTGTTCACTCTAGACGCGTGGCGGTGTTCACTCTAGACGCGTGGCGGTGTTCACTCTAGACGCGTGGCGGTGTTCACTCTAGACGCGTGGTGGTGTTCACTCTAGATGCGTGGCGGTGTTCACTCTGGACGCGTGGTGGTGTTCACTCTAGACGCGTGGTGGTGTTCACTCTAGACACGTGGCGGTGTTCACTCTAGACACGTGGCGGTGTTCACTCTAGACGCGTGGTGGTGTTCACTCTAGACGCGTGGCGGTGTTCACTCTAGACGCGTGGTGGTGTTCACTCTAGACACGTGGCGGTGTTCACTCTAGACACGTGGCGGTGTTCACTCTAGACGCGTGGCGGTGTTCACTCTAGACGCGTGGTGGTGTTCACTCTAGACACGTGGCGGTGTTCACTCTAGACACGTGGCGGTGTTCACTCTAGACGCGTGGTGGTGTTCACTCTAGACGCGTGGCGGTGTTCACTCTAGACGCGTGGTGGTGTTCACTCTAGACACGTGGCGGTGTTCACTCTAGACGCGTGGTGGTGTTCACTCTAGACGCGTGGCGGTGTTCACTCTAGACACGTGGTGGTGTTCACTCTAGACACGTGGCGGTGTTCACTCTAGACACGTGGCGGTGTTCACTCTAGACGCGTGGTGGTGTTCACTCTAGACGCGTGGCGGTGTTCACTCTAGACGCGTGGTGGTGTTCACTCTAGATACGTGGCGGTGTTCTCTCTAGACACGTGGCGGTGTTCACTCTAGACACGTGGCGGTGTTCACTCTAGACGCGTGGTGGTGTTCACTCTAGACGCGTGGCGGTGTTCACTCTAGACGCGTGGTGGTGTTCACTCTAGACACGTGGCGGTGTTCACTCTAGACGCGTGGTGGTGTTCACTCTAGACGCGTGGCGGTGTTCACTCTAGACGCGTGGCGGTGTTCACTCTAGACACGTGGCGGTGTTCACTCTAGACACGTGGCGGTGTTCACTCTAGACACGTGGCGGTGTTCACTCTAGACGCGTGGTGGTGTTCACTCTAGACACGTGGCGGGGTTCACTCTAGACGCGTGGTGGTGTTCACTCTAGACGCGTGGTGGTGTTCACTCTAGACGCGTGGCGGTGTTCACTCTAGACGCATGGCGGTGTTCACTCTAGACACGTGGCGGTGTTCACTCTAGACACGTGGCGGTGTTCACTCTAGACACGTGGCGGTGTTCACTCTAGACGCGTGGCGGTGTTCACTCTAGACACGTGGCGGTGTTCACTCTAGACGCGTGGCGGTGTTCACTCTAGACACGTGGCGGTGTTCACTCTAGACGCGTGGTGGTGTTCACTCTAGACGCGTGGTGGTGTTCACTCTAGACGTGTGGCGGTGTTCACTCTAGACACGTGGCGGTGTTCACTCTAGACACGTGGTGGTGTTCACTCTAGACACTTGGCGGTGTTCACTCTAGACACGTGGTGGTGTTCACTCTAGACACTTGGCGGTGTTCACTCTAGACGCGTGGTGGTGTTCACTCTAGACGCGTGGTGGTGTTCACTCTAGACGCGTGGCGGTGTTCACTCTGGACGCGTGGCGGTGTTCACTCTAGACACGTGGTGTTCACTCTAGACGCGTGGTGGTGTTCACTATAGACGCGTGGCGGTGTTCACTCTGGACACGTGGCGGTGTTCACTCTGGACGCGTGGTGGTGTTCACTCTAGACACGTGGCGGTGTTCACTCTAGACACGTGGTGGTGTTCACTCTAGACACGTGGCGGTGTTCACTCTCTACATGTGGAGGGGAAACCGGCGATCCGGAGGGAAATCCACGCGACCACGGGGGGAGAGAGAGAGGCACGCAGCCTCGGCTGTGTTGGTTGATCCTCTATGAATTTCTTGGTGGAGTGAGGAAGCATGAATAGTGAGCAGGTGAAGGTGGCCAGGCGTGTGTCGGGACACACCACCACCACCACCTGTGAACCATGCCAGTGTGTGACGGTGGTGTGTGTCTGGACACACACCACCACCACCACCTGTGAACCATGCCAGTGTGTGACGGTAGTGTGTGTCTGGACACACACCACCACCACCACCTGCGCACCATGCCAGTGCGTGACGGTGGCGGAGCGAGTGGGGGTGGGGTGGCACCGACCCCCCAACGATCCCATCGAAATATACAAACACAGAGACGCTTTTAACCGAGAAGATGGATTCTGGCTCAGCAATCATTGGAAGGACGTAATAAACCATTTAGGATCTTAACTGATTGTGTTCACGTTTACGGTGACTTTCAGACCGCGTTCCACTCACTGGCATTGACTATATATCTTGTATTCTCCGCAGGGAATGGATTCTTTGCTCCGCTGCAAGTCTCCAACCACAACTCTCCCATTGACATATTTCGTTGCTTCATCTTAGTATCTTTCACGTGACGGTCAATGGTACAGTGTATAGCGGATTGTATAATAATAAATAGTATAAAATTGTAATGTTTAATACAATGTACAAAGTAATATATAGTATCGTAGTTGTATAGTGAATATACAGCAGTGTGATATACATTAGGGTGGGTAGAATAATACATAGTGTAATATTACAATGTATAAGGTGGTGTATAGTAATATAGTATGTAATTTAATGTTGGGTTTGTCTATGGCAGTATATAGTACGGTGTAGACTCGTGTGATGTAAGAGAATAAAGTTTAGCTGGAAGCATATTATATTTTTGCGACATAGAATTGGAATGTATTACTTACTGTTAGTAGCTTAGCTTATTGGAGAGTATATTTAGTATACTGATGATACTATGTAGTTTATACTTTAGTTGTTTATGTGGTGGTTTAATTACTGCAGCTACATACTATTAACATTCCTTCCCTTTATTAATGTTACCCCTATCCCCTCCCTTTGATGCTGGTAATCTTGCATAATGCACGGGCATAATATGACTTTAAACACCCCGCCAAACCTCCTACGCATTTCACAAGTAGTACTAATCGCATATCTGCATTTCCCATAAATATGCTAAATTCCTCTTGATATCCAAATTCTTTTGTCAAGGCGCTCTTCGCCCCTCCATCCCAGCTTAAATAGTCGCTCCAAGCCTGGGGTGTGTCATTCAGAGGACGGCTGCTTGCGTTGTGGCCGAAACGTCGTGAGAATTATTTATAATGTTTTATTTTTATTATTTTATTATTTCCATTCTACGTGACTTTACCGAAATAACCAAGAAGAGGTGCAATTCAGTTTTTAGACCCCAGGATATTGAATGTCAGGAATGACATCCTTCACAGATGGGATTAGATCACGGATTTTGTGTACTGTATTTCATCAGACCTGTTTGTTTAAGATTTTAGAGATGCCGATCAAAACTATCACGTTGTCATCTTTAATATCTGCCGGGTACTACTACACCACGCAGCACTCACCCTCCCCCTTTCTAACCTATTTCACCTCTTGCCACGGCAACTCCTACTTCAGCAAAAAATGTCTTGCTGTGGTTTTCCCACCTGATGATGATTGATTGTGTTGCAATCGAAACGTCGTGATTTTATTTATTTTATTTTATACCTACGTGACTTTACCGAAAGTAACAACAGTATGGATCCCTGCAGTCACGAAAACTTCAAATCTGGATTGTACTAACAACTCCTATCATTTTTCATTGCTGGAGGGGTTGCCCCCTACCTGAAAATCCTGGCTCCGCCTCTGAGTGTGTGATAGTGTCAAGTTTGTATTTGCAGTAAAGTCTAGTTTTTTTTGTTTTGCTCTGGAACTCTTTGTAAGAATGGAGTCAGGAAGTTATCACAGCACACAGTGCAGCTGAAGTCGGAACTGTTCATACCAGCAGTCAAGGACATCTGAGCCTGGCTTCACACCTCGAAGTTGCAATTGAACATTGTTTTATGCATTTCTGCATAACACAAATAGTATTATTTTCAATACCCTTTGCTATGTCAGGTGAATTTAGCTTTCATAAGTATTTCTTTTGAAGCCAGGCAGCCGAAATTGTGTGCTTGGTGTTTTGGGTTAACATTCATTTTGAAGATACTAGGGCTTCCAGGCATGTTGATGACCATTTGCCTTCTCAGTGTGCCATAACAGCCCGTGTGATGAAGTTGGGACACTTTTTGACTATCATGAATATATGAATAAGTTTAAACGTGTAAGTCACGTGCGACTGTGTATATATGCATTCCTCTGTGCATTGATACTGACGTGTAGATGGTGTGGATATTCTTTTCTCCTGTCTGCAGCTGTTGCTTCCTCCGCAGAATTGGTCTGATGGAGCAAAGGCACTCGGCACGGCTCGGTGCAAAAAGGCAACAATGCGACCAGCGTGCAAACAGCACGGATCGTCCTGGAAATTTGACACGACACAAGAGAACTCACACAGGAGAGAATCCCTTCAAGTGCAGTGTGTGTGACAAGACATTTTCACAGTCATCAGCTCTTAAGACCCACCAGCGAACTCACACAGGAGAGAAACCCTTCAAGTGCACTCTGTGTGGGAAGGCGTTTGCATATTCATATAATCTTGTAACACACCAGAGAACGCACACGGGAGAGAAACCCTTCAAGTGCAGTGTGTGTGGGAAGCCATTTGCACATTCATCTGCTCTTGTAGCACACCAGAGAACACACACGGGAGAGAAACCCTTCAAGTGCAGTGTGTGTAGGAATGCGTATGCACAGTCATCTGCTCTTGTAGAACACCAGAGAACACACACGGGAGAGAAACCCTTCAAGTGCAGTGTGTGTGGGAAGGCGTTTGCACGTTCATCTGCTCTTGTAGAACACCAGAGAACACACACGGGAGAGAAACCATTCAAGTGCAGTGTGTGTGGGAAGGCGTTTACACTTTCATCAAATCTTGTAATACACCAGAGAACACACACGGGAGAGAAACCCTTCAAGTGCACTCCGTGCGGGAAGGCGTTTACACTTTCATCAAATCTTCACAGACACCAGAGAACACGCAAGCATCAGAAGATCCACAAGGAGTGGAGTCTGAAATCAGCTTGTGAAAGTCAAAGTGCCGCAATGAGCCCATCCCTCATGAAACAAGAACCGGAAGAAAATCCCAGCTTGGACGCTTTTAAAGGTACCGAGGTGAAATGTGAAGAAGTGAAGGTGAAATGTGAAGACGTGATGGTGAAGAGCGAAGAAGTGAAGGTAAAATGTGAAGATGAAGACTCCACTCCAAAATCGGACCTTCACATCGATGGAGGCAACGTGAAGCAGGAGGAGAATTCTGACTGCGAGTCAGAGCGAGGCAACTTCCAGCAGTTTGTTGAAGTGGAGGTGTGGGTGGACTTCCTCCGAGACAATACAAAGTCAAATGGAGACTCGTTAGATGTGTAAGCTTGAAACGATGTCGATCCAATAAACACACCTTTGTCACAGGCCTTTAATGACTAGAATGTGAAGTTGAACACTCAATTGCTAGGTTCAACCTGCAGGGTAAGAGCGGCCAGTCTTTGTGGACCTGTGTGTTGGGTAGATCTCTAACCAGGAGCGAGTTTCAATAAGCTCCCAAGCATTCACTATGTTATAATTGCATTTACAGTGGTCCCTCGGAGATCGAACTTAATTCGTTCCAAAACTGTGTTCGAACACCGATTTGTTGGAACACCAAATCAATTTTCCCCATAAGAATGAATGGAAATAGCATCAATTGGTTCCCCACCCAAGGATGCTCCTATTATGGGCCATTTTTGCACAAAGTTTACAATGTTAAAAAACAGTCCAGTACATAAAAGCATACAAAAAGCAAGAAACAATTCTAATTAATAGAACAAATGAACATTGAACTTCACTTTACCTACAGTAAGGAGAGTGGATGGCTTGAGTGGAAGGTGGTGAGGAGTGGAGGAGGTGTCAGTGTTGCTTGTGTAATAAAGGATGTTGACGACACGCAGCTTGGTCTCCGTCTCTCTCGTATTCTTGTTACGCCGCTCACACTCCGCCGGTCCCGACAGTGGACCGGCTGTTCCTCTTGCGCGCCCCGCGCCCCCTTCCTGTCAGTCGCACTCCTCCTGCTCCCGCACACCGCTGGCTCACGCTGTGCTTGGAGTCGTCTCCAGCCACGTGGCTGATGGCGCAGGAGGTGTCCCCCGACCCAACGTGGTCCCACTCCGAGACTACGCCGACTGACCACGAGCCTCTTCCGGCTCCCCCTGATATCCCCCTCGCACGTCATCCCGTCTCCACCCTCCACCATGCCCTTGCCGAACCTTCCAGATCACGCCCTTCGCTTAGCCCCCCCCCGGCTCCGCCCCTGATCTTCCGGGCCGCCTGATTGGTCCAGAGCTGAGCGGCGACACCTCGCTCACGCTGCGTTACGCAGTCTCGGGCGTTCTTCACGCAGCGTTGCTGCCCTATCACTTCAGTCGTTCACTGCCGCGCGCACCCTGAACGTTGTGTTGTGTGTCTGCAGCAATCGCGTGTCTAGGAGAAAGACACACCAAAATTAAATAACCGAGCAAAATATCGAAATGTAATGTAATGCAACACAGAGTCGATCAACACACAATTAACGCATAGCCTGGTTGATTACGTATTTCAAAGATTGCTAAGTTAGAATTTAAGTGAAAATTCCAAAGAGAGGACACAGGCAGAGAGAGAAAACAACCAGAGAGAGAGAAAAAAGAAGCTTAAAACTTCCCCGAAGAAGTGGTTCAATCTTAATTTTGGAGCTTTCGTGACTGCAGGAATTATTATTTGGTTCTTTCGGTAAAGTCACGTATAAAGATAAAATAATAAATTAAATAATAATAGCATACTACGACGTTTCGATTGCAATACAAGCAATCATCAGGTATAAAAGAAATAGCAACAAAATCTAACCAGAAAACTATATCTTTCTCCTAATTTTCAAGCTTGCGTACCGTACCACGTCGTCCACTCATTGACATGCTAATTTTTTCTCTGCCCCCTCCCTCTCTCCGCCCCCGCCCCCTCTCTATATTTAAGGCCTCGTCACAGAGACGATCTCTCTTTGTGCCGATACGTGTTCTCTCTCTGTGTATCTTTGTGATATCTGTCTGCTTATATGTCTGTCTATAGTTTTCTGGTTAGATTTTGTTGCTATTTCTTTTATACCTGATGATGATTGCTTGTGTTGCAATCGAAACGTCGTATGCTATTATTATTTAATTTATTATTTTATCTTTATACGTGACTTTACCGAAAGAACCAAAGAACAGATAGTTTATTTTTTCTTTTTATCGGCGCTTGACGTGTTACGTGTGCCCTCTGGTGGACAAGTGCAGTACCACAAGCATTCAAATTGTTAGTGATAGGGTTTTACCCTTTCAACTGGTACAAAAACTGACACCTTTATACAAGGGATCATATTTGCAATAACCACAACACAAGCAGTCAAAATGCAAACAAAAATAAACTCTGATAATGATATGCACTGTCCTTGAAGTTGATTGGTCCACACCCGAGACAGCTTTTCTTAGAGCCTAGTCTCCATTGGTGTTGGACCAGATTACGCCAAAAGTACCAGTTGAAAGGGTAAAAACCTATCACTATATTTTGCCACTGGTAAAGGAGGTCTCATCGTGTAAATTCAAATTGTTGGTTACGTGTGCCCTCTGGTGGACAAGTGCAGTACCACAAGTCTTCAATTCGAGGTTACATCTGCCATCTGGTGGACATGGGCAGGCCTATTTCTCTCTCATAGGGCCATTCGATCTTTCTCTCCCTCGGTCGCTTCGGGGTGGATTCATTGACACGCTCATTTACCTGCTCCAGCAGCTGCCCCAGCAGACACCCACCGCTCTCTCTCTGCCCATCCCCCTCCTCTCTATTTAAGGCCTCGATAGAGGCATTGGGTCTCTGTGTGTCTATGTTGTGTGTCTCTCTCTGTGTCTGTGTGTCTATGTTGTGTGTCTCTCTCTGTGTGTCTCTGTGTTGTCTCTCTCTGCTTGTGTGTCTATGTTGTGTGTCTCTCTCTGTGTCTGTCTGTGTCTCTGTGTTGTCTCTCTCTGTATGTGTCTCTGTGTTGTCTCTCTCTGCTTGTGTGTCTGTGTGTCTCTCTCTGCTTGTGTGTCTGTGTGTCTCTCTCTGCTTGTGTGTGTCTGTCTGTGTGTCTCCGTGTCTGTGTTTTGTCTCTCTCTCAAATGTAGTTCTACCCTGATGACGGTTGCTTGTGTTGCAATCGAAACGTCGTACTCCATTATTTAACTTGTTTTCTTTCTACGTGACTTTACGGACAGAACCAGAGAGAAATTCCTGCACTCACGAAAGCTTCACATCAAGTGTGGGCAGTGTAGAGGCCAACACAGCACGCCGCTGTCAGCGTCACCCCGCGCGTTCCCGCAGTTGTGAGTCGCTGCTGCTGCTGCGGCGTCCTGGCGTGAGTCCCCAGCGCGGTTGGCGGCGATGAAGCCGTGAAGCAGAGGTCGTAAACGGGTTTTGATTCCCGTTCCCTACCCGTACCCTACCCGAAATGAGTGACAAACGGTTACTCACCAGTGACTCACGGTCTACCCGTATCCGTACCCGGCTACCCGTACCCGGCCGGATACGGGTAGCCGGGTATCGGGTAGGGTACGGGTATCGGGTACCCGGTTGCGACCTCTGCCGTGAAGACGCCGCACAGCGCCACTGCTGCTGTCACCGCGCCAAGCACTGCAGTGGTACCACGTGACCACACGGTGGCGATACAGCACCATGCTGGTTATGTTATTTAGCGAGTGTCCATGTTGGTTAAGTTATTTTAGCGAGTGTCCATGTTGGTTAAGTTATTTAGCGAGTGTCCATGTTGGTTAGGTCATTTAGCGAGTGTCCATGTTGGTTAGTTTATTTAGCGAGTGTCTATGTTGGTTAGGTCATTTAGCGAGTGTCCATGTTGGTTAGGTTATTTAGCGAGTGTCCATTTTGGTTAGGTTATTTAGCGAGTGTCCATGTTGGTTAGGTTATTTAGCGAGTGTCCATGTTGGTTAGGTTATTTAGCGAGTGTCCATGTTGGTTAGTATATTTAGCGAGTGTCCATGTTGGTTAGGTTATTTAGCGAGTGTCCATGTTCGTGTGTATGTTGAACTTCCTTCACACCGTACATACCGTACATCCCCTAACCCATAACCATAACCTCTAACCATAACCCGTAACCCTAACCCCTAACACTAAACCTAACATTGACCCTAATCCTCCCCAAATCCTACCCTAACCATAACCCCTAACCCCGAACCCTAAACCCTGAACCTCATCCCCTAGCCCTAACCCTAACCTCTAACTCTAACCCCTAACCCCTAACCCTAAACTCTAATGCTAACCCTAAGCCCTAACCCTAAATGACCCTAACCCTAAACCCTAACCCCTACTTCCAACCCCTAACATTCACCCTAACCCCTAACCTCAAACCCCTTGCGCTAACCCCTAACCTCTTCCTCTAACCTCTTACCTTAACCCCTAACCTTCACCCAAACCCTAACACAATTTTGTCCAAAAACGGCATAGATTAATATGCCAATTTGCTTTTTGGCTAAAAAAGGTGTGCCGATTTTCTGAGTTGAAAATGTATCGTGAAATGTTAAATTTTGTACGTAATATGTAGAATACTACAGCAAACACAATGGAGGAATGCACTTGTTGAAAAATAAAGCTATGGGAATTTGGCTCATTTTGGACATAAACAGCAGAGGTTAGTATGTCGTTTTTTTTGGGACGTGAACATTTAGTCCTAAAATTTTCCACTTTTAATTTAATACATAGCATACTAAGGGTAAATACAATGGATGAATTAACTTTTGTCCAAAAAGAAAACTGTAAAAATTTGGCCAATTGTGGCTTAAAACGGCAGAGGTTAGCATGCCTATTTTCTTTTTGTGGGACGTAAAAAATTCATCATTAAATGTTCCACTTTTAATCTAATACATAGCATAATAAGGCTAAATACAATAGAGGAATGAACGATTGTCCAAAAATAAAGCTGTGAAAGTTTGGCCAATATTGCCCAAAAACGGCATAAGTTAGTATGCCGATTTTCGTTTTTTTACTTGAAAATGTCATGGTGAAATTTCCAACTTTTTAACGTAATATATAGGATATAAAAGGCTAAACAACTCCGAGGATTGCACTTTTGTTAAAAAAGAAAGCTGTAAAAATTTGGCCAATATTGGCCAAAAACAGCATAGGTTAATTCTAGATTTGAAGCTTTCGTGACTGCAAGGATTCATATTCTTAGGTTTTTTCGGTAAAGTCACGTAGGTAAAACATTCAAATTAATAAAAGTAAAATAAAATAAAAATCACGACGTTTCGGAGGCAACACAAGCCTCCGTCTTCAGGTGGAACCGCCAGAGCCACGACAGCTGTATCAAGCAAATTAGAGATTGCAGGAGCTACCACTCCGTTTATATAATGGTTGGAGAGGGGGGGGAAGGGCCAAGTACAGCACACTTTATAACATAACAAAGGCTCACCCTCTTAAGCCTCACCTTACCATATGAATAAAAAGTGTGCTGTACTTGGCCCTTCCCCCCCTCTCCAAGCATTATATAAACGGAGTGGTAGCTCCTGCAATCTCTCATTTGCTTGATACAGCTGTCGTGGCTGTGGCGGTTCCACCTGAAGACGGAGGCTTGTGTTGCCTCCGAAACGTCGTGATTTTTATTTTATTTTACTTTTATTAATTTTAATGTTTTACCTACGTTGACTTTACCGAAAAAACCTAAGAAAACGGCATAGGTTAGTATGCCGATTTGCTTCTTTTTTACATGAAATGTTCATGGTGAAATATCCTACTTTTAATGCAATATACAGTATAACATACTAATGCTAAAAAAAGGGAGGAATTCACTTTTTCTTGGAAAATGTAGCTATGAAAATTTGGATGATTTTGGCATAAAACTGCATAGGTGCCCTAATCCTAACTACCCCAAACCTAAC